TACACATTTGATTGAATAAACCATTAATTCATTAATGGGATAAACTTACTTATGACCCACATTGAACACACACACGTAATGTCTTGTTTAATCGTCACCATGAATCTTATTTTTCACAGTATATCATTTCAAGGTCAAGGTGGGAACCCGATGCTTGATACATTGTGTTTTTATTTAAGTATACAAAACATACCTAGGAAGTTCCAACTCTACATACAGAACACAAGAATCAACAAGATGAACTCTAATTAGCAAATTCTACAATTCTGAGAAACTTTGTGACTGTGTTTATAGTTCCAACTCTGCATACAGAACATCAGACTCACAGTTGCATTAGAAATACGGTTTGAACACAATACTTAATGTGATACAAGATCAACATAAGGGATGATTCAATACATCAGGCTCATAATAGCATCATGCTTGCGTATTTCCGGCGGAAGATCAGTTCTAATGGGCATGAGTCTCTCAGCCAACATTAAAATGCAGTGTGTGTAATGTAATGCTACACACACACACCGATGAAATGGGTAAGTTTAACAGAAACAGCTCCTGATAGTGGAATGTTCCTAACGACGAGTCAAGGATTCCATAAATACTCAATGATTGTTTTTTCTGTTCAGTTTTCTGCAACGAATGTCTTTACCATATTAACGCGAGTCAATATGACTCAACGTGGGTCAAAATAAAGTAAAAGAAAGTGGTAAAAAAATGTGTGGATGTTAATAACTGATTAGTTGATTCTTGGAACTTATGCATATTAGCGTGTTACGATCAACTCTCGACTAATTCTTTTTCTTGGGAATGAACGATTATACAAAACGTTAGCGGATTATCATTCAGTGCTCGTGTTCATAATTATTTGTGACCGTGCCTGAGTCGAGAAAGGAGACACTAGGACCGATAAAAAAAATATATTAATTAAAACTTAGGTGATCGTATAAGTTATTACTGATAACAACGACTGGTATAAGTTAGCCACAACCCGAGAGTAGATAATAATAATAAAATATCAAAGGCTAGAAAAAGATGATCTCAAGAGTCCCTTAGTGACTGATGTCGCCTTCTAATTAATCCATCGACCGAAGTCAGACCAGAATACCGAAAATAGTCTGGGCCCAAATGATCGGAGATGTGGTTACGTTTTTTAAGCTAACTTCAGTTCTAAGAAAGTGAGTGAAGATATCTCAAAATAGACATCTCTCAAACATCGATTGTATAAACAAAACAGCCGGATGAGGTAATGACCATCTATGATAGAACTCTAACGTGAGTCTTGTATTTCTTGGCATTTAGATGTGTCAACTTTATGTATTGGATTTAACGTGGTGATCAGATGAGGAGAAACATTACAATACAGTGGCGAAAATTTACATGTTATTACAAATTATAATGTAATTCAATAAATGTACAGTACACTTTAAGTGATTAATCTTAACATAATCACATTGTAATTTATTCAACATCTGCAACACAACTTTGATTTTGCGAATTATTTTCAAATTAGAAAGCTTGTTCTTGTTTTAGCACAAAGATACACAATGGACTATCTACGATCTGTCCACCGCGGGGAATTGAACCCCGGGTTTTAACATTGAAAGTCCTCGAACTTACCGCTGACGCACCGGGGTTCAGCTAAATGGCTAAATATGGATTTAAAATAGCATGAAAATCCAGCCCTGTATGATTTCTAACCAAAAGTTCATTAGTTTAACTAAGTCTAACGCAAATAGGGTTATTCTACAAGTCGACAAATACCCTTCTTGACTTAACAAGCTGGTGTAAAAATAAGTTTCCGGTGCAGATGGAAGGGCTAATCGCCCTCGGGTGCTGAAACCATCCAATTTCAGATCGCTTCTCCTGCACTTTACAATGAGGTTATGCCACGAACTTAATAAAAACACTTCTAAACAAACCACAAAATGCCAAACCAGGACCTAAGGCTTCATTTCATCCTTACACCTGTGGTAGCCTGTATCTGTTATGGAGTGATATTCTGTAGCTCTCAAAGTTTGTATAAAATTAACCACACTTATTTCGTTTTCATATGTACTCAAATATTTTTAAATTGTACACTTTAACCTGAATTTAAATACGCGTCTTGTACGTGTGTATATTGGAGAAAAATACAAACAACTACGGGGAATCAACTTACAACATTTGCATTCTAGATTTGCTGAATCATAATTTTTGATCTTTTTTTTAATTACTTGTAACCAAGGGGCCACTTTATACGAATTTTGAATTTCGCGCAAAGCTACACGAGGGCTATCTGTGCTAGTCTAGTCGTCCCTAATTTAGCAGTGAAAGACTAGAGGGAAGGTAGCTAGTCATTAACACCCACCATCAACTCTTGGGCTACTCTTTTACAAACGAATAGTGGGATTGACCGTCACACTATAACGCACTCACGGCTGAAAGGGTGTGCATGTTTGGTGAGATGGGGATTCGAACCCGCGACCCTCAGATTGCGAGGATCAGAAACAAAATTCTTCTAGACACACGTAAATTCACAGTGAAACGGTCTACAGCTATGGGTTCATTATAAAAATGTTTTCATCGTTATAAATTATTAATCGAAAAAAGCAGTAGAAAATCTTAATGCAAACTGGGATATTTTCAACATTCTGATACTTGATTTGGGCTCAAACTCTGAACACAAACCTTAAACCTTTTGAGGCAATTTAGACATTTTTTTTTTATAAGTGTCTCGCTACAGGTTTGCAGTTTAACTGCGATTCGATATCACAGTCGTCATACATAACTACAAGAACAGGTATCATGTTTTAACGGAGTAAACTTTAACAAGTTTAAGTATAGCACGGTATTAACATGTAAACAGTGTATAAGTTAACGAAAAGAAAATGTATAGGGTAAAGAACTAACGGTGTACACATTAACCAAAAGATTATGTACAATAAAGTACAGGGTAATCCAAAAATATATTTCCTATTTTAAAATTTAATAATTAAATAACTAAAGAAATACAATAATTCAGTTTTTAATATATTGTAGCCGAGCTCATACAGCTTTTATTGTAATATTTTTTCTTTTTTTTTCTTTTCACTTCAGTGAGTAGTAATACCCCATAAAATGGCAACCGTGCAAGAAAAAGGCTCGATGCGATGGACTGGTCAGAGTAAGACAATCTCGTGACCTCCGTGTTCGCCAGACATCAATCACTCCACTAAACTTTTTTTGGAGGAGGGGGTATGTTAAGGACATTATGTATCGCACACTTATAACAAACATAACGGAGCTAAAGACGAGGATAACGGATGCAATTGCCACTGTAAATGTGGACATGTTGCAGCAAACGTTGACTGAAATCGAATATAGGTTAGACGTGACGAGAGCCACTAATGTGAACGTGTAGAAGTCTATTGACTATTCCTAACTCTTACTTCCACTGTCCTTGTTTGAGAACTTCATAATTAGGCTTCACTTATTAGTGGTAACCACAACAATAAATCACGAGCTTCATAATTAGTCTTCACTTATTAGTGATAATCACAACAATAAATCAAGAACTTCATAATTAGGCTTAACTTATTAGTGGTAACCACAACAATAAATCACGAGCTTCATAATTAGTCTTCACTTATTAGTGGTAACCACAACAATAAATCACGAGCTTCATAATTAGTCTTCACTTATTAGTGATAATCACAACAATAAATCAAGAACTTCATAATTAGGCTTCACTTATTAGTGGTAACCACAACAATAAATCACGAGCTTCATCATTAGTTTTCACTGGCTAGTTTAATATCAGCGTTCATGATCATGGAAATCAATTAAACTGCAGATAGTGAAAGGCAGTAGGAGTTGAGACGTTGTGGGTGTAAGCACTCAACACCATACCTTTAATTACTGGCTAGTTTAACATCAGCGTTTGGATTTTGTCTGGTAAATGGGATATTCCCAACGCATTTGGGAGACAATATCCGCTATGACTTTAAGGTGATGACTGGGATTTACAATTGAATTTACAAAAAACCTTCTTAATGCTTATTATATATATATGTATATATACACAGACACAGACACGATGAAACCTGAAGCCCCCCCCCC